TCTCTCTCTCTCTCTCTCTCTCTCTCTCTCTCTCTTCTTTTTTTCCATCTTTTGCGTGCATCACGCTGTTTTATACATGAATACATTTTTCTCTTTAGCTAAATATCCTAGTTTTATATATTTTTTCTTTTATACCATCCTTTATTGTATCGCGTCCTGTCGCTGTAAGTTTCTGAATCTCCCTCTTTAAATCGTGCCACAAGTATTATGAATGCAAGGGAAATTTGTATATTGTGTTGTGAATATTGTGTGATGTTTATCATAAATGTGCAACTCGACTATTTTCACTTGATCGTTTGCGAATCTGCTCCGCGACATTGTTTGTGATACCACCGAAAATTCAGACAACATAAATATTGAACGATAAGAAAGTTTCGCACGTTCCGAAAGCCCGGAATGTTCTCGTAGAGTAAACGGTAGTAATTTCTCTATTTCTCTTTTTCCGTAGACTTGAGTAGAATAGCATTACGATAGAATAGAATTGTCATCAATTGTACATCGGCGGTTTGCATATATAAAACGTGATTCTCTTTTCTTCTTTTAATCTCTCTTTCTTTTCGTCGTTTTTCTCTATTTCTATCTCTCTATTTCTATCTCCATTGTTCCTGGCTATCTTTATTGCCTCGGGCCAGGTTTTTTTTATCGTTGCTGCGCCTCGCTCAGGAAAACAAAATTCTTTTCAACTTGGAATTGGTTCATTTATTACGGCTTAGAGAGTGAAAATCTATCCAACGCGGGCAAAATCCAATTGCGCTGTACAAATCAACATAGGAACATAATTGTGACAATGCGCGCTAGACAAATTAGCGGAATTAAATTTTATTAAATAATAGGATATTTTATTTTGAGATTTATTTATTTGCTCTTATCGAAACTCAAACGTACAAATTGATTTTAATAATCTCATGCAAAGGAGCAAAAGAAGCTACGAAAGATAAATTGATAAACCGATTGAATCGATGGATGCAGAACAACCGGCGAATTTTTTGGCGAATTTTCCGCGCGATTTTCATACCTGTGTGATGCGCATCGCATATTTTTCCCAATCTTCTTCTCTTTCTCTTTTCTTCTGTAGAATTTACCGGATTTCTTAGAAAAATAAGCTCTGCATCAAGCGATTCATTTTCTTCTTTTTTCATCGGTTGAGCAACGATCGTTTTTAATCATTTCGTCAATTCAGCGAGAAGAAAGTTTCGTCGACGAAATTGTTTAGGGGAGGCGGAAAAAAAAACGAAGATTTGTTTATTGCAAAACGTACATCGCTAATAGAAAATAGAAAGTAACAAATATTTCGTACTAGTCGACGAAACTTGAGTCTTAATCAGCCAGTTGAATTCTAATCAATCTTACACGTACATGTATCGCGCACTCCTGGAAGAACGTTACCACGAATAAAAA